TCTTGAATAAGTTTACAAATAATCTTAATATTTTATGGGAGAAGGGAAAAAGTAATTTAAAAATTTTGAACATTAAATTTGAAGATATTTTTTTAAAAGATAAATGTTAAATATTCTTTTTGGTCTCTCTACTATAGAAAAAAGTCATTTTTTGGTTCTTGTATTGTAAAATCTCCTTTTTGATCCATAAATTTTAAAATTCGGCCCATTTTTAGTTCCTCTATTAATTTTTGCTCACGTGGCACATTAACTTAATTGGAACAGCTGACGTGGATATGCCAACGTGTAAATGATGCTTACATGGACTTAATGACACCCTCTACGTCACGCTCGTGCAGAAAAGAAAAAAAAATGTTAAATGCTAAATTCGGTCCCTCAACTTTATAGGTTTGCACTTTTTTTATCCTTAAATTATTTTTTTTCACTTTTTTATTTTTTAACTCTAAAAATTGCATAATTTTGATTCGTTTGTCAGTTAAGCATGACGTGACAGTTAAATAATTCCATTTGACATTTTCTTTTAATTTTTTTGATGACATGGCAGTTATATATATTATAATTATGTTGTATAGATAAATAAAAATATCACATAAATCAATATTTATATTTTAATTAAAAAATAAAATTACATTATTACCCTCACCTCCCAATCCCTCTTCTTCCCCTTCTTTCTTTCTCTTTCTTTCTTTCCTACCCAGATCGGCTGGGTTCCAATGAGCTAGGTAGCTGGGTTCGACAAAACGCAGATTTGCTGGGTTTCGTCAGACCTAGCCTTGTTGGTCACGCGAACCCAACCTTGCTGGGTTTGTCGAAACCCAGTTGTTGGGTTTGCGCGACTAGCAAGGTTGGGTTTCGACCAACCCAGCTTGGCTGGTTTCGTCGAAACCCAACAAGGCTGAGTTTCGACGCTGAGTTCATGTTTTTTCATTCTTCTTTCGATTTTCATTTTCGGTTCTTGATAAATTTGAGAGTTGATTTACAATTTGATTGCATTTTTGTTGGAATTGGATTAGAGTTTGATTGATATTGTTTATTGAAGGGTTAATTTGATTTGATGAGATCGACTGGCTTGATGAACTCAGTGGCTTTAATAAAACCAGTAATTGGGTTCGATGACAGAGAACTCAAATTTTGCTCTGCAGCATTCTAGGGTTCATAGTTTTTTTTGCAGGTTTTAAGGAGTTTGATTTGTTAGAATATGAACTCTCAACGTCATAGCATTTAACCTTTTATTATGGGTCAACTAGCAACTAGGTTTTGACGAACCCAGCCGATCTTGGTAGGAAAGAAAGAAAGAGAAAGAAAGAAGGGGAAGAAGAGGGATTGGGAGGTGAGGGTAATAATGTAATTTTATTTTTTAATTAAAATATAAATATTTATTTGCGTGACATTTTTATTTATTTATATAACATAATTATAATATATATAATTGTCATGTCATCAAAAAAATTAAAAGAAAATGTCAAATGAAATTATTTAATCGCCACGTCATACTTAACTGACGGAGGGATCAAAATTGTGCAATTTTTAGAGTTAAAAGATAAAAAAAAATGAAAAAAATAATTTAAATACCAAAAAAGTGCAAACTTATAAAGTTGAAGGATTAAATTTAGCATTTAACTTTTTTTTTTCTTTTCCTGCACTGGTGGGGTGACGTGGAAGGTATCATTAAGTCCAAATAAGCATCTTTTACATGTTGGCATATTCACATCAATTATTCCAGTTAAGTTAACGTGCCACGTGAGCAAAAATTAATGGAAATGTTAAAAAAAGGTGGGATTTTAAAATTTAGGGACAAAAAAGAAGATTTTTTTGGAACTAAAAAGAGGTTTTTTCTTATAGTAGAGGGACGAAAAAAGTATTTACCTAAAGATAAATGACAAACCACTTGATTCTAACTTGTGAAACGATTATGTTTTCTATTTTTTTTACTAATTTTTCAAAATCTAAAAAACACATTAAATTACGATTAATTTAAAATTGAGTCACATTGGATCCCATAAAAAAAATTCTCTCAACATTTATTTGTCAATTTATAAAACTTAAATATAATATCTTATTTAAAAGAATTAAGCTTTTTTCACTTAAATTAATAAATTATTGATATATTGATTATTGGTTCTCAAAACTAAATAATTCATACATGGTAAAATATTGTGCAGGTTTTATTTCTCCGAAAAAAAAAGGGACCACATTACCATCTAACGTCATCACCTG